ATTATATAAAACTTAGGCAAGTTTTGAATCGAGCTGAGGCAGCAGCAAGACTGCCGGATTTAGACCCGACAAGTGGCAACGAATATAGAAAGCTCAATGACTTAGCTGGTTTTTCTCAGGCTTTCCAGGAGTAATAATGAAGTGTAACAATCAGTCAATATAATAATAAAATTATTCATAGTCATTTGAATATGATAATTTGGTCCCAGGGGATTGATAATAGGATATATAAAGKGATGTTATTTTCACTACCGGAAATAAAGCATGAAATTAGCATAACAATAGATATCCCACAATGGCTTGCCGTGTCAGTAAATGAGCGTGATATGCACGCTTTGTTCAYTCCGATTCAAACCACGGACACATACTGGTTTAATTCGGTTCTTGCAAGACCAACACGCCATGTCTTCCCAACCACCTCCTGTTGAACAACGTTAAAGAGTCCTGGCTCCTCACAGGTAGAGGATATTTTGTGTTGTTGTCCTGGAGAGACCAACAACTTGAAGTACGCCCAGGTGAGGCTATTTTGTTTTGGTCCGGGGAGAGGCCTAACATTCTTACGCCCTGGTGAGGCGAACTCTACGTTATTTTTGTCTTTCCGACATGTGGTTAGTAGAGGATATTTTGTGTTGTTGTCCTGAAGAGACCAACAATTCTTGGTGCGTCCATGCAGGTGAGGCTATTTTTTTGGTCCGGGAGCGGCCTAACATTCTTACGCCCTGGTGAGGYGAACTCTACGCTATTTTGGCTTTTCGACGTGTGGTTAGTAGAGGATATTTTTTGTTGTTGTCCTGAAGAGAACAACAATTCTTGGTGCGCCCAGGTGAGGCCGTTGTTTTGCTTAGTTGTGCTTATCACGACACCGTTTTTGGTCCGGGAGAGGCCTAACTTGTCACGCACTAGGGAGGGAGATTGTACGTTACGTTTGGACTCTCTACGTATGTCCGGCGGGAAGTTGGATAGCCTTCATGTGGTTTTGGMATTCCTGAACAAACTCAAGATTTGCATGCTGACGCTATTGTTCATGTTATAACTGTGTATTCATTTTATTCACGCCCACCAAAGATTTGCGCAGTGGATGTGTTGAGTGCCGGGAGAGGTCCTTTTCCTCTACTATGTTCCAGCCCAGGCTGAACAGTAAGGTTATAGGAGCTATTTTAGTTCTTACAATGTTRGCCGGTCCACGGCTTAGTCTGCTGTTTGGAGTCTGCTGTTTGCATTCCTATGCAAATGTTTTCGCTTTGAGTCGGCCTCATGTTTTGTTTTACGTGGCATGAGTTTATTTAATTTGTCCTRRTGCGTTTTGCATAAGGTTGGTCTCCTGGGAAAACTAAATATTTTGGTTTTAAAGCTTCTCTAAAGACCTAATGGTATTGCCTTTTAAGTAATGGCCCGAGTAAAAACTAGAGAAGCAAACGGCAAAGGAATGCAAGAAGGTGCTAATTGTGTATTGTATAATCCATCCATCCCATTGGTTTAAACAAGAAAATCTGCTATAATTTCACAAAGAGTTAGCGCATTTTCTAATATTTATTTAATATCTCATTCCGACTTCATGAAAGCTTTCTTTAGCTACAATTTTGAGGCTATTCTATGTGGGGAACATAGCAAATTAGAAGCTTCTTTTGGCTATTGTTTTGAGTGCTTATGATTGGATAAGAGGTTTTAATACAAAAGAAACTTTGTTTCAAAATAGAGTTTATCCACRTTTTATTTCAAAAATGTGTTACCCATAGGTTGATATATAATCAGTGTGAAAACCAAGACATGTGGGGAAGTTGCAAATGCCGCAGAACAATAGAGAGTTCTATAGTTCYTACGCACATTGTTACTAAACTTTGATATTATTGCAAATCAAGGAAAGTTTTCGGTTCACACTACTATCTTTATTTTTCGTTACCTTTTGCTTTTGCTTATCAGAATAGCTAAAATATATATATATATAGTTTTTGACCCTTCTGCTTATTATCAAAGAAAAGTCAAAGTGTGAATTCAGAGAATTGCTGGCCACTGGACGGTGGGGAGGAATTGGTAGCTCAGTCCTCCAAAACACCTGACAGTGCATGGTTTTCGTTCTGGGTGTGCGATCAACCTTGCCCTAACCAGATGTGAGCTCAAAGATATCATGTCCCACATTAGGTGGAAAACGGAGGAAACCGATAAACATTACTTGCACATTTCTAGCTGCGATACTAGTTAGGCACCCCTAAGACCCTCGCTAACAGGAAGTTAACGAACTTAAGGGTGCACATCTGCTTTGAATAAGCTATTCCTCTTCATATAAATAAAACCACTATTTTCACTACCGGAAATAAAGCATGAAATTAGAATAACAATAGATATCCCACAATGCCTTGCAGTGTATAAATGAGCGTGATCTGCACGCTTTGTTCATTCCGATTCAAACCACGGACACATACTTGTTTAATTCCCCCACCCACCCTACACCCGACATGGCGTGGAATCTATAACACTCATGGATATACCGCTGTCCACTTTCGTGGCCAGCAGCAATCTCGTACCCCGAGCCTTCGTTTTTCTTGGCCAGCGCCTCGACAAACACTAGAGTCTTACGTTTTCGGCGCTGGCCAAGAGAACGAAGACTCTGGGTACGAGATTGGGCCAGCAGTCTTTTCAGACCTGCCCATATCTCATTGTATATTCATGTGTATTGTAGGTAGTGATAATATTGTACTATACGTACAACGAGACAATCTCGTACCCAGAGCCTCCCCAGAGCCCGCACTTTTGGAAAAACACGTTAGCAGCTCTTTGTACAATTATTTGCAAGATAACAATCTCATCTACATAAATCAAGCGGCTTYTCGTAGTTGTCATTCCACTGAAACAGCACTGATTAAGACAATCTTCTATTCAACATGGACAAAGATCAATTGTCTGGATTTGTGTTTGTTGACTTCAGAAAAGCATTTGATGTAATAAACCACGATTTTTTGCTTGATAAACTCCGTCTTTACGGTGCTAGTCACTCTTCGGTGAGTTGGCTGGTTTCGTTCGTATCTATCAAACAGGAGACAGTATGTCCAAGTATCAAACAATACATCTTCTTCTTTGCAAATATCAACTGGAGTTCCTCAAGGCTCAAACTTAGGCCCAATCCTGTTCTTATATTTWTTAATGACCTTCCTCTGCATCTTGGAAGTTCCACTCTAGACATTTATGCAGACGATACTACACTGTCTGCGAGCTCTCACTGGCAGCAGCCTAACCAAATTTCAGTGACATTAAATAGAGATATTGCCATATTGAACAGTGGACCCGTGAAAATAAAATGGCAATTAATGTGAGTAAGACAAAATCGATGCTTGTAAGTGGAAAGAGACTGCGTAAACGCCCGGGAATAACTGAAACATTAGACATCAACACTGACATTGAACAAAAAAAGAGTCACAAACTTCTAGGCGTGATCCTCGATGAAGATCTCGATTTTAATGAACATGTTGAAACACTATGCAAGAAAGTCTCTAAACGCATCGGTTTATTACGACACATTAGTCCGTACCTAAAACGCACCTAACGGGAATATTACTACAATGCAGTGATAATTAAGCCAGTTATTTTATACGGAGCCAGTATTTGGTCTTATGGTAACAAGGGACAAGACAATAAAATACTCATGTTGCAGAAAAGAGCAGCGAGGATAATAACGAACAAGGACAGACACTCAAGATCCATTGACATTTTTAACTCATTGAATTGGTTGCCATATTACGCTGAGGCGTATACAGCTATTTCAAAAAACGTTGTCGGGGAGAACGGCGAACGACGATTGTCGAAGAGAGATTGCACGACCGAAAGGGACTATGGTTACACTGTTTTGACAAACAAAATTTCACTTATTGGATTCACCTTGCGGAGAAATGGAGACTAAATGGAGTTAATGTTTACAACAGTCCATCTTACAGTACAAATCAGTTGTTATTGCCTTTCAACTACCAAAACCCATGACTACTTTCGGTCGTGCAATCGCCGTTGGACCACTGACATTCGCCATTTTATCCGACAACCTTTTTTTGAAATAGCTATATTCATCGCCTAGTGGTTTTATTTAAACGTTCAAGAGGACAGACACCACTATATCTAAATGAATTTTTCAAATTGAATAGCGATACACATGATAGAACAACTCGTTTTTGTAAACTTAATTTTAATTGCCCTTTTTATAAGAAAAACTCAGAAGGTGGGCGTTCATTTTCAGTTCGTTGCACAAAAGATTGGAATAAGCTAGATAAATATCTTAAAGAAGCAACCAGTGCCCAGTCTTTTAAAAATTTACTTTTTAATAGCCTAATTCAAAGACAAAAATCAGACCTTATTTAATTTTTATTGATTATGTTCAGCTCTTCCATTTTCATTCGTTTTCTTAATTACTTAATTTTAATCAACATGATTCATATTGTAAATAATATATATTTTTTATCGCATAATGTTATTACTATTTTGAATATTTATATTAATATATTTTTGTAGATTTATCTTTGTWGATGATTAGTACGAGGGCCACTAGTTTATCAGTTGCAGTACTGTCAAGTGTCACCCTCTATAAATAAAGTTTATTGTATTGTATTGTATTGAACTTGACTCTCACGCATTGACATCCGCTGGATGGCATAAGTGCGGGCTCTGGGTACTAAATTGCCCAGAGTCTTTCCGGCGACAGCACACCGCTGACATTAGCCGTGAAGACTCTGAGTGTCTGGGCTCGAGATTGACAACGAGCGTACCAACCTCGTTCCCAGTGCCCTCTCTGTTGCTATTTTCAAAATGGCGGACGCTGTAGCACTCACAACCTCGTCCCCAGGGCCATCTCGGCCGACTCCTTTTCAAGATGGCGGTCGTCGGGGAGATGACCCTGGCGTTGGCTGGAATCACGTGATCAAAACCTCCAAGATTTTTGGAGGTTTTGATCACGTGGCTTATCTATTCAAAATGGCGCTCGAAACGTGAACTCAACGGTTTCACAAACTGGGATNACAACGTAAGTTCTCCCTTTCACAGTTGGGCTGCCTGTGTTCGGAGTGATTTGATAAGATGGCTCTAATCAAGTTTGCTCCTCTCAGTATACCTCTTCACCGTCGTTTGGAGACGGCTGCTGTGGCATTGTACTACTAYTCTTTCTATTTTGGGTCATTAATTGGACTCCTTATGATAATTGGGCTACTATGTACCTCCTTCTATCCGATTGCTCTTTTGTATTTGGCCTGGGCGTATGTTTTCGATTCTGGCACGCCAAGCCATGGAGGAAGAAGGTCCAAATACATGCGAAAGCTAAAAGTGTGGCAATATTTTAGGGACTATTTTCCTATATCTCTCGTGAAGACAGCAGAGCTAGACCCCCAAAAGAACTACATTTTTGGTTATCATCCACACGGGATATTGTGTGCGGGAGCATTTTGCAATTTTGCTACAGAGGCAACAAATTTTAGTGAAGTCTTTCCTGGAATAACTCCTCATCTTTTACCTCTCATGGGTGAGTTGTATTTTAGATCAATCTCTGAATGTTTTCACTTTGACCTACTTTCAATTAATTATTGTACAAAGATCATTTCCTGATTATTGTAGCTGCAACCGAGCGAAGCGACCTAAACCGGAAGTAGCTTAGAAGCGAGAAATGTCTTATTTCTGCAGACAAGCAATTTTTCTTGAATTCAAGTGAATGGAATCGCTAGATATCKGCCAGGTTTCCATCCCTTTGTTTTCTATTGTTTACAATTCACTTCCTAAGCATCTATCTGTACAAAAACAGCTGAGACTGTAATGGTAGCATTTTCATAATGGYAAAAGAAAGTAAGGAAACCCAATTCAATATTTACACKTTTGTCCTGTTACATTTTGTCTTCAATTGCATTTGCTTTGTACTACAACAACTGCGAAGTATAGAAACTGTATAGTCCTATAGCATGCTCAAACTATAGACGCTCTTGGAGCGTGAAGTCGGACTTAGCTATATTCTGTCTAATCACATGATTATATTATGAATGTAAATTATGGTGTAGAATATATATTTKTACTCGGCCTAGGTCATAAAAGTCATAAAATGCAGCGCGTATAATTTTCTTTTTTCCAAGTCAGAAGTTTGCCTGAAGTCTGGTCTCCCGATCGCCCTCCGATCTCTATACGAAATATCACATTACGAACTCGGCTGTGAACAATCATATCTGTTACTGTAGCTTTTTAGTAATTCTTTGATATTCGAGGCCTTTTGTTATTCCAACACATTCATCTGTGTAAGAGCATTATAAGGACATTGGTTAAGGTCATAAAGGTTGGTGTATCGTGCCAAATAGTGCATTTTCCTTGGCGAGATATAAACCAATACTTCGTAGCTGAGTGAAGCCTCAATGTGGCTGTCTGATTCTGTCTGAGTTGCATAGCCTAAATTTTCCAATTTGATGAGGGATTCTATCTCTTCTGGTTTAAGAAAACAATGCTATTCACGGAGGAGTATTCCTAGATGAAGATTGAAGCGATCAAGCATAGTTTTTATAGAGCGGGACCTTCTTGTTGAGATCGGCGCAACCTAGYGCCAAACTGTCTGATTTTGATACTGTGGTATACTTGACCATTAAATTACTACAAATTAGAATAATTCTATCTATATATTTTTACTTTGTTTCACACAAAAGACTATCAGAGTGAACGATTTGAGTCACSTCTGCATTGCMGTGCGAYGTATRYAACTTTTATATAAAGTTTATATCTAGTTCCTTCAAAAGCTGCTAAATATTGCATGAAAAGTAATCAGCAAAGAGATACTTTCACAAATTTTACTCTTAATATATTTGATTTCAAATCACTTTGTGATTTATCAGTTCCTATAGGTGAACTGCATGCCTTTGGTAGATTCTTTACATCTRAACCATACCCGAGCGTCAACTCGGGCGAGCTATTTTTTAAAATTGAGAAAGACAGTACCTATATTATATGGTTGGTCATATAGGCGAACAAGAGAATAGTTTTAAATGAGCTCAATTTGAAAAAGTACTGAATAAGCCAGCACTTTTCTTTTCAACACCTTTAGGGCACGAGTAGTAGACTATGCCGCTAAGTGATATCATAGGTAATACGTTTTTAATTCAAATTGTTGACCTCTCAAGCCAAGAAAATAGAAAGATGCCTATAAAATAATCAAAGTCGCCCTTTTGTTATTGATAAACAAAGTTTCTTCTTGTTCTTATTTGAAATCTTTGCCCAAACAAGACTGTCTAACGCTAGAAATCAGTTTCGTAAGCATATTCTACTCGAAGCTCGAAGCACATGCGCGTACTTCTTTTGCCTAGACTGATGCATTCCAATGAGATCACAGATACCACATTTGTGAACTAATAGTTTTTTTATCACATAAAAGCGCAAGTAGCATATAACATTTACTAATGATATTCGTACATCAATAATACGTGGAGCTTCCAGTCATGTAATAACACAGCCAACCCAATAGTTATAGCATTCACTGTGTTATAATTACATTGATTGATTTTAGTGACATTTGACTATTTGTATTGCCATTTTTCAGTCATTTTATCAAAATCTTTAATAAAAACACTTCATTTTACTTTTTTTGCTCTCTTTGACACTTGATATGATAATAAAGCACTTATTTACTGGAAACCTTGGGAAACAGTATGTTTTGCGGTCTCTCGACAGTCCCTCAGCAGTCTCGGGACCACAAAACACACTGTTTCCCTCGGTTCCAGTAAATAAGTGTTAAGTATTTTGACACAATAGTCAGAACAGAGAGACATGAGCACCAAAAAGGTACTCAGCTAAAATATGCAAAATATAATCTTTACAAGGTGTACATTAAGGATATCAATGTTCCCAAATCAAAATCTTGTCCCATAACCTTGAAAAATGGGGATGAAGTTTTGACATAAAAAGCACAGCGTACCCAATTCTAGTTTTTTTTGAAAAAGCGTTTTAAGATTCACAAAATTATTGATATTCTACCTTTTGAAGAGCTTTAGTCATCTTCAGTAACCTTAAAACAACCTTTAAATTGCAGAATGGTGCAAATTTTTAGTCACTGGTTTAAAAATATAGCATAATATTCTCTCTGAATGATGCAAAAAATTGATAAAATTGACCTAGAAATAAATACATTCTTCAAAGTAGGCATTTTGTCAAGAGTTTATTTTCTTGAATTATCGTTGTTTTCCTTTATCTTTAATGATCAAGTTTTAAGTGTTTTTGGCCCTGCCAGATCGAATTTTACACATAAAGCACAGGAAACCCAAAAATGTTTTTTTTGAAAATTGATTTATATTTAATTCCAYCAAAAGGTGGGAGAATTCTCTCGCAATCTATGGAAAAAAACAACAACAAAAAAAAACACTAATCATTATAATCGCTAAACCCATCTTAAAAATGGGGAGTGTTGGGCCTCTAGACCATAGGTTCCAACAGACCATTTTCATTCTTCTCCCAGCTCTACTCATCATCATAAGGATTTGGTTGCCAAAAATTGGTTGATCTGCCCTTTTTTTAGTTAGTGATTGACCCGTGGGAATTCTCCCATCTTAGCATTTTGGTGGAATTAAATCAATTTTCAAAAGGACCAAAAACACTTAAAGCTCAATCATTTAAAGATAAAGGAAAACAAAGATAATTCAAGAAAATAAACTCTTGATAAAATGCTTACTTTGAAGAATGTATTTASTTCTAGGTCAATTTTATCTTCTTTTTTTTTTTGCATCATAATGACTTATAAAACATTTGCACCATTCTCCAATCTAAAGGTTGCTTTAAGGTTACTGAAGAAAACTAGCTTCAAAAGGTAGAATATCAATAATTTTGTGAAAACATTCTGCCATTTGATTTAAAACTGGAAAATGCCATCAGAAAGTGGAAAATTTCGTTGTTTACTTTGACCTTAGACATCATRTCTGGTTTTTGCATATCATATCCTGAGATTGACCAATCACAATTGACTTTAGTCATATGGTTTTTGGCTGAGATATCATATCTGTCTGTTGTCCAATCAACAGCAGGCCATTATTTACATGTCAGTTACATGTGCATGTAGATATGATATCCTACTTCCAACCAATAATTGTAGTACTTTGATGAATTTGCTTTCTATAGAGGAATCTGTGATTAACAAGATCAAGGAGCAACCCTGATCCAAAACACAACACAAGGTGTATTTTAACAACCGATTTTCATTAGAAACAGTGACACTGAATAACATTTTAGCTGCCTTGATTACTTAGGAGTTTGATTTGTTTTATTCAACAGGGAAATAGAATCAAATATTTTTGCTAATCTAATGTCAATTGCAGTCAAAGCGGTGCTTGTTTTAGTTGTCACTACTTTAGTGCCTTTAAAAATTTACTTCGAAGCTCACTTCATAATTCATTTTCAACTTCAAATGCAATTAATAGATACYTCACATAAATTACTTTTACGTGAACGCAAAGTTAAACACTGTATTATCTTAGTAAAATTTACTTTGTAGGAAACTCATCTCTTAACAAATGGTATTTGTTATGGGCGATTTCGACCCTCTTGTTTTGGCGGGAAAATATGCGTGGCCGTTAAAAGCTACCAGGACTATGAACTACAAATTACATTACCAATGCGTTTCACACAACTTTGTGAATAGATTAAAAAACGCGATTCGATAATTTCAAAATCTAAAATGTTATTTCGCGAGCGAAGCGATACGTTCTCTTATAAACGTATGTTGTKCCCGCATCCATGGATAATTATCGTGTTGCTTAATTCGGTAAATTGATTAAAACAATAGGTGTGAAAGTTAATATCTAATTATGTTGGAGTGCACTTTGTTAAAGAGTCATGCTAAATACGCTTAAATAATATAATAGCGATAATGCATTGAAAACAAAGCTTAAGAACAATGAAGGGATATTCGTTTGCCGCTTCTTTTCGTTATTACGGGGGTGTTAGTTTAATGTTTAGTAYWTCAGAGTTGCAAGGTTGGCAGTTGAAAGAAACCGCGTTTTTTACGGAAGGTGAAAAAGCATTGAAATTTGTTAAGTGCATTGTTTTAAGGAATTGAACAATAAATTTGCAATGATTGGTGCATTTTTAAGTGAGTGCATTATAAATGCGGCGATGACATGAACTATAATCATTTGAACTGCAGAGAATAAGAAAATAAAGGATTACCTCAGCRATATTAGTAGAATGAATGACATTGCAATACAAGTTGCAGTCGGTTCAAAAAGAAAGGCAAGTGCAAGTAAGAGTTGTCAGACGGTTGTTGATGCTGAAAAGAAAGACTGTTCAACGCAATGCGGGTAAAACACGGTTTTGGAATTCCTAAGGGGAGGGGGGATACCCAATTTCGGAATTTCCTAAGGAGAGGGGGGGTCGAAAATCGATGCCGCCCGTCGTATGGTACGGATATTTTCTGGAAATTCMCGTTTATGATTTATCACTGTATGATTGAGAAAAGGGCCTGGAAAAAACCTATGCACGCAGGGTATCTCAAGGCAAAATGAGACTGTTTGGGTAATGTCATGCAATGAAACAATGTACATTGATTTATGACAAAAACTGCATGAATTGCAATAACTTCTTTGGTGGACCTAGAAAACGCAATGTAAATGTTGGAAATAAGTTATACTATACTGTCTAGGATATATAACCAAAAGAAGCTATTATTAACAGAGTTGCCTTAATTATACAGTCAATATATTTGAACAAAACTGGTTACTTACACGATATATCATCAAGCATTGGTTTGGAATTTTTGTATGCCTTTTGGAAATGCTATGCAAGTTTTATATKACTGTTCAGTGTAGCACTGTAGCTATTTATTGCAAAGGTCATGGAGAATTCAAGCTTTTTGATTCTCATGCAAGAGATTTGCTTGGCTTACCATATCTTAAAGGTACTTGTGTGCTTTTTTAAATTAATGACTGTACTACATTTATGAACTACTTTCAGAATTTATATGTTGGAGCTGACCTTTCAAAAATTTTAATTGTATTAAGGGGTGTGCATATTGAATGTCTGAATTGTGCTTAGATCACAATATCAAACATTCCGAAGATGCATGGCAATAATATAAGGAAGTTGCTTTACATAATAATAATGAAAACTGCAATTGTAACCAATGACAACATTACACCTCTTAAATGTTAGTGTGCTATATTATTTTATGGTATGGTTTTCAGTAAGTAAAAATACTGGTATATAAGCAAAGCAAAATGTATCAACTTACGATGATGTACTCTAGGCCGTCAAGTTTCTGTCAGGGATTGATCGCGATGTTTTTGCTCTTTCTTTTGCTTGACATCAAGGACATACATGTACGTCATTTTGTGGGGAACAAAAAGACTTGCTGACAAGAGTTAGAGACACCCTTCCCATTCTCTGAGTAGCCCGACTTAACGCTCATAGAGCGTCTAGTTTAATTACTAATATTTGACGTGATTGAAAGGTATCTATCACTGCATTTGTGATTGCTTCGAGGCCAAAGCTACCTTTCAAGATGGTGCTTGGAACTGTAAAATGAAGTATTTGAAGCTTTAAGTCTTGAAGATACAGCATTTGAGATGTAGAGGATATTTATAGGCGTGTGGAGATACGGATTCTTTAACTTCGAGTTAACTAAGATTTCACTGTGAGCGTAGCGAGAGATTTTCAACGTGAGAAGATAAAGCGAACATGTAATATTCTTTTTATTGAATAAATATATTTTACTTCCAATATATAGAGAAACCTYGATTGAAAATAATAACTTTTCGAAAGAGAGAAATATAGTCATTTCATAGATATTTATATGATAACTAAATATTAAATTGTCAAAAATTCGAAGCATTCCGGGACAGCTGCTGTGAGTAAGTGGGTGAAAGAGAATAATAATTGAGATTTATACGATATTTTGTACTTATAAGTGCATGATTATTTTCTAGCATTGTTCAAGCCACCTTTGTTCAGAGACTATATTATGAGTAGTGGCATGTGTAATGTCTCAAAAGAAAGCTGCAAGTATGTGCTCTCTGAGAAGGGACCCGGGAATTCTATTGTAATTGTGGTTGGAGGTGCAGAGGAAGCTCTAGATGCTCACCCAGGAACAAATGTATTGTGCCTTAAACAGCGATATGGATTTATAAAAATGGCCATAAAAACAGGGTATGACTCCATCATTAATTTKTATGTACAGACTAATCTCGCAATGGTGATTATGAGTAATACACAATAACTTTTTTTGTAACTGTAATGTCAGAAATGTATTTTTCAAAGCGTGTAGGTCGACCTGTTTAACAGACATTTTTATGGATTGGGAGAGGCAGTAAAATAAGAGGGTTGGCGAAAACGTTTTTCCATGTTCCAAACAAACGGAGGAAAGTAGTATTAGCGGGGGAGTTGACGCTGGATTTTGTGTGGGGTTTTTATAGTTAATAGCATGTTTTGTAGTGGTATTTGGGATAAAGTTCCACGTACAAAACATGCTATTATTTGTTTATAAAATGATTGAATAAAATTGTGCAATTTGAAATACCACTATTAAGGATAAATATCACTCCTCTAAGTCAATCAAATTGCACAATTTTATTCAATCATATTATAAGTGATGAAAATCTATGGGCACTCAAAAATATGAAAAATGGTGTGAATTTGTGAGTTGATATATTTATTTTTTTGTAAGATATTCAGTATTTTT